TCACACGACGAATGCGTAATTCGATAACAAATGTATGCGTTTCGATTTGTAAACAAATTCCGTTGACAAATTTCAATGTTATGTAATAGTAATACATTATTAGTTATTACGCGGGCAAAAGACTTTTAGCGTTTTTAGCATTTTTTTACACCGTTGAAAAATATAAAAAAAAACGAATACGGTTCGTGCTAAGACAAAGCCATATTTGTAATTTTATTTTACATATATATATATATATATATATATATATATATATGCATATAGTAGGTCATCTAAGCGCGTATTTGGTGACTTTTTAGATGTTCTCTGCGCTAGTTGTAATAACTATATTATACGAGCTGTAACACGAATATCTTACATCTGAAATATCTTCTGTTCTGTTCGATATTTTGAAGATTTTTCATTTTTCTCGTAATAACTACTAGAGCTTTGCACTATGATTAATCCATTTTATTTTATTATTATTATTTTTTTTTTTTTAACCAAAAATAACAAATTAAAATTTTTAAAAAATTGTTTTTACAATATCCAAGACGGCCGTTTTATAAATATAATTTTGATAGAAAATGTTTACGTGACGCATATTTGCCAATGATGAATCGTTATTGTCTACGGTTTTATTTTTAAGTTAAAGATAATTTAAATTGTTTTTATATTATCATTACCTACTAAATAATACCTCTTTATTTGAAAATGTGGCTATAAAAATATAATTTTTGTTAACTTCAAAAGATCATAGAAACTTAACGGTTTACCGTCAGTAACATCAATGGTTTGTTTCAAAATATATAAACCGTTCGTCTCGGATATTATAGAATAGTTTTTAAAAAAAATTGAAACGTTTTATAAAAATATCTATATATATATATAATAGAAGGATCGTACGGCATCGGCATGAGAAAAAGAAATATCGAACAGAACCAAATTTATTTCGGGTGTTATGCCCTGTATAATGTACTATAATAAATGGATCTGGATACCTACACAACACCACAAAAGAATAGTATCAATTTTAATTCGTATTCGTATTTTTATTTTTTTTGTTTTTGTCAGTGCGACGTACGTTTTTTATGCCTGCGCGTCGTGTATATTTGGTTGCAGGCTACGACATTACATAGTACATTTTTGAATAAAATGAAAATTTATATGATAATTCAAGAAAAAATGTACAATTTATTCGAGTACGGTGTTTAATACGCGTACACCGTGCGATGCATTCTGGTATGTAATTATTATTGTTTGCACGCGCACGCGCGGCAATACGGATGTTTATTCAGATATTATTCGCTAGGTATAGCCCTATGTATTTGAAAATATTTTTATCCTGTTGCAATGAATATGTAATAAATTCTTGTAATTTTTTTTTAAACTTACATGTTGACCACGAGGACGTGGTCATTAAAAAACTGGGTTGCAACTTATAATACGTTAAATATTCAATATTTGTGAAGTGACGTAGTAGGTATAATTACCAGTTCCATCACCGAAAAAATCAGTGTTGTCACATAAGTACGCCATAAATCATTTCACAATTAATTACGCGCATTGTTCACACACTGCCCCCCCTCCGTAGCCAATGCCACGGGAGCCGCCAAAATGGAGACCGCGTATGGCATAAGACACGAGACGCGTAAATCTTCTTCATCGAATCGTCACTTCTCCGAGTTCGCCCAACAGAAACACGTTTTTTATTGCTCACTTGAAATCTTTACTACATACATCTTTCCAAACCCATACGGCAATTGCAGATACCATAGGTGGGCTGCTGTGTTTGGTTAATCCATATTTCCTTAAACCTAGTAGTTGTACTTATTGTCACCTTTTTCTCTATCACACACTTAAACGCTTTCATCTTCTTTTTTTTCCATCGCCGTATACACACAATAAATTGCCTTTGACTAACTCGAGTATAATCTCAATATAACGCAGTTCGTGGTCGTCAGTCGGGACAAACAATTGTATGCAATTCCTTCCAATACATGTACACACAGTACATTACCCTCGATTGACTTAAACATAGTCTTAACATAGCGCAGTTCGTGGTCGTCAATCGGGATAAACACCTGTCTGTACATTTGTATGATTCTCACCACGTTAAATCATAACGGTTATACAACGGATACACAAAGGGACGATTTCCCCGCAAGTCGTCACTTATCAGCAACCCGACGTTTCGGTATAGCCAAATAGATACCTAATGATATAGAAGACTTGGTGACAAAACAGTTATAAATCCTGCTTGTGTTTATTTATGAGTCTTACGCACAAACAATATCATTTCACGCCATACATATTATATTTGACTGTTCACCTTTCATTCCCACACCAACACCGTATTATTCTACCTTCTCCCTTTATTTTAATTTTGCTTTTTATTCTACTATATAAGCAACACCTATGTAGTATCTTTCTCATAAGCGGTAAAAGCAGGCTCACCCCGTTCACGTTCCTTTGTTTTAGCTGCAGATGCCTTTTGGTCTTTGATTTTCTGTTTAGGAGGTTTAAACATGCATTATGATTTTCTATGTTCATGTTTTCCACATTTGCAGCCATTGAATTTAAAATTTTGATTTATATGTATACTAATTGAGAAGAAAGTTGCAACCTTAAATTCTGGTTCTGATCTTGTGCCTATTCTTTTCATTTCCTCATCCAGTAGTTTACATTTGGAAAAATTGATCGTTAGTCTAACATCATTCAACGTTTCAAAGGCAGTGATTAGAATATCATACGATTTCGGTAGACTTAATAGAAGCAGACCGACAACGGTTCGATTGGTTTGCCTCTACCTCGGCTAAGTTTGTCAAAAGTAAGATAATGAGACGCTGGTTTCTGCTTTTCGTCAAATTTAAGTGACAAAAGGAGTTAAATTGTGAACAATTAATTTTGTACCCGTTTTCGTTCGAATGTTTTCAGAATTTTCAGTAAGTGCTTCCCAAATTTTAATTGGATTCTCCTTATCTTTTACATATTCTAGAAAACTGTAAGCTTTTCTTGGTACAAGAATTCGCTTACTTTTTCTCAATGCCATAAAAACTTATGCCTGATGAAATTAAGGTTTCTTAACTTCATCAGCCACATGAAGTGCTTTTTCTTCGGTCCTCACGGTCCATAGCAAATTTTGTTCTTCAAGTAAGATTTCCATTCAATATTTCCATTTACTAGAAAGTTTTCTCTTTTGAAGAGAGGAAGTTAATATTTATCTTCTTCTATGTTACTAAAGGATTTAACACTTACTGACTGGTTAAAAAAAAATTGATAGTGGTACAAGTATAATTGGTGACATGAGATGCATGGTGAATAACAAAGGAAAAAAAATATATAAAATGCGTCGATATATTAGAAATAAGAAAAACAACTTAGTAAGTTATAATAAATAATTAAATAAATAATACACAAATTAAAACGTGTAACCTGGTTCAATTCATCGTACAACAAAACATGACGGCCATACAATGCGTCCGGAGCAAACAAAATACATGTTAATAAAAAAAAAAAAAAACAAATGACGATAATGCAGTAGACATCTGTTGTAAACATTTTATATTATGAGACTAGAACCGTAAAACAAAAAGGAGGAGTACACATGGTTCATTCCCACGACGTCGACTCCTGTTTTGCGAAAGCGTTTTATTTTGTTAATTCTTACCTGCCACATACGAAACTTGAAAATACACCTATTCATAATGTACTACTCCATCCTACCATACTATGTTAAAAAAATGTGTTTTCGTTATAATTTTTGCAGGGATTACACTAGTTTTCCTAAATTTTCACTGTAGTAAACTTAAAAAATGAAAATAATAAGAAGAATTAATTTTAGCTTCTATTTAATCGTTGATTAACTATTGTTATTGCCAATAGTTTTTGTATTTAGGAAAATACTAAATTGATTTATGCTCATGCCACAATTGCGGTGCCAGAATTTCTCGGAATATCACGTCGAAAACGTGTATCCCTTCAATTAAAAAATAATATTTAGATATTTTTAAAGATTATATATTGTATATTTATTAATAATTTATTTTATTTTTATTTTATACATACATTTATTTAAAAAAAATACAGGGATTAAAAACATTACCTTACGCACAATAGAAAAATTCTGCATATAAGAAATATATACTTCAATTATAAGGTATATTAATTTCATATTTAAAATAATTTATTTAATTTTAATTTTATATACACATTTATTTGAAAAATAACATGGATCAATATTATTAACAAAGATAATACGCAATTTAAAATGTATAAATATAAGAAAATAATGTTTCATTTATTAAGTATATTTATTTTATTTGTATCTTTTACATACATTTATTTAAAAAAAAAAAAAACAGGGATTAGGCACAATTTAAAAAAAAAAATCAATAATAAAAATTAAAAGAAAAAAAATGTTTCAGAATGCTCGTGTACATTTTATACGAGTCGAAACTACCGCGTCGAAATGACGCGATATTGAAATACCGACTTTTGGCGACCGTGACATTCGCTTGTACTCGGATAAGAAAAGATATCACAAAGTTTAAAGAATTTTTTAAACGATGCTTAGCAGGAAAACAAACTGGACTACTGACTTAAGATAAGGAAGACGTTTATTGTTAAAGTTGACTAACCCCAGTCACTATGCTACTACTGGTAGTTCTGAACCTCCAACATTTAACCCAATAACGGGATCAAGGTCTAAATCAGTTTAGTACCCCAATTCAAGAGGCGACTCAAACGCATAATTGAAGTGATACATGTCTCCGACGTGATATTCCTTACGTTATAAGGTAAGCAAGCCCTGCTATATCGGTAACAAGATTCGCCCTTACCGGTAATCAGTATATCCCAAACTATCCAAAAATCAACCATATTTAAACCTACACTCCTACGTTCCGTACCTAATCATCCAACCAGATGTATAGTGCCGTCCCGTCTACCAACCCCTTCTCGTTATTCTTGTTTGTAATTATATTATTAATAACATTCTTGTATTACGTTTTCGATTATGTTCAGATGGAGCGCATTTTTTTCAAGTATTTATACGCAGCCCAACAGGCAGCAGAAAAGAGAACTAAATTAATTATTTTTTTTACAACTTTCTTGTTGTCAATGTCGAGTTTGGGTTCTATATTCTCGGAAGCGGTTTTTTCTGGGATGGACGTGATTGCAGAGGTGGTATCGGGTTCTTTAATGGGCGTAATTTCAGAAGATATTACTGTTTCCTTTGTGACTTCTGCGGCGTGGTCGGAATCTAAATTAATGTTATCGGAAATCGAATAAGCTCGTTTTTTAAAGATGGACGTGTTGACACATTTTTCAACGCCACTGTATCCAGTAGCCTGGCTGTCATCACTAGCGAAGGTTGTTAGTGGAGTCTGGTGGTAGGTGGCGGGTCCTTCAGAAATATATTGTGTTAAAGACGCCACAATGACGTAACTCAACAACCTTTCTGGACGGTACTCCACGACGAAAGTTTGCGTAAACCGCACGCCGTTCACGGTAACCATCAGGCCGCCGGGCGATCCCCCACGGGGCAACGAAATAATCGATTTAACTATATAATCGGACCGGAACCTGAACTGCATCAAAATACGCTTTACCTGTAACCGGGTCTTGACGACGGTGGTCGATCCGTCTTCGTACACCGTTTGGAACTCGCCGTATTCATCATAAAATTCGTTGGCGTACTCTGGTATTGTACGCATCACGTAATAATACCGTTCCATGAATTCATAACCGACATTAGCCGCGGATTTCCAGCCCGGTAACGAGTTCTTCTTAGCCATCGTTAAGATGGCACCAAGAGCTCTTCTCTTACGTCTTGAATCTGCAACACCTCTGCTGTTTTCCATTTCGAATGAAAGTACTAATATCAAGCGCGTGCCAAAAATATTAAACTATTGGAAACAATTGATAATATTTTCCTTTTCGCAATCGTGTTTGTTATTAATGGGATTGTATAATTTGGTAGGCATGGATGCCATAAAACTATAACAACACGGTTGTTGTTGGTTAATAACGAAAATAATATTGTCAGTTTGTTTTTGTTCTGGCCACGTTCCCGGAGCCCACGTATGTAAAAAGTCTGTAGTTTTCTCGGCTTAAGATGACATTAAATGGTAATTTGCAAGCCTTAAGATACATCTGATTTCAAGGGACACATTTTTAATTTAAATGTCATCTTTAACAACTCCTAAACAAAAAAAAAACTGTGGGTGTTACAACGCCCGAAATTCTACCTTCATTTATGACCACTTACCTTATACATTGATATATTTTACATTCTAAATAGGATAGTACTTTCTAAAAAAGTCGATCAACTTCATTCAAAAGTTATAGACAAATTACTTCTAAATGCTTCATTTTTCTAAAAATCTTGTTTTAGAGTTTAAAAAATTTACATTTTTGTTTTTTTTTTATTTTTAGAAATAGTAGTAATTGCATACTCTAAATTTTGACGGAATCAGAATTCACCTATCGTAATTACTTTTTATGTTATTGTTAGTAAACTACGTAAAACCTAATTATAGTATTTCAATCATATTAAAGTAAATCAAAATTGATATTTAAACTTTTTCAGTATGTAATAANTTTTTGAATGTTAAAAAAAAAAACAAGGAAAACTAAATGCGACCTCTTAATAATGCACCAATAAGATCAAAAATACTATAAAAAATATTTTTTTGATTAGAGTAAAATTGCATTTAGACAATTTGTAAACAAACAGAAAAAAACAAACTTAGCAAAGCAAAATCACCACACTCCTCGTTGCGCTCAGAATTAAATGTTTTAAACTTTTTTAATAACCAACTTGTCAATTTCGATTACGTAATTATTTTATAGAATTTCATTGATAATAGTTTTTTCCCGAACGACTTATCATTTTAGTATTAGTTTGAAGTAACTATGCGCGTTTTAACGTATAGTAATGTTAATGGTTTGATGAAATAGGTAGGTACTTGTGATGAAATTATAATTGAAGTTATTTTCAACTGTTGCGTATCTGTTGATCTAGATGAGTACTCTAAATCGCTGTCCAGTAAATATAAGTATTGTCATTAGGTGATGAGTGATGGTAACCTTTAATTACGATATATACACGGACTCATAAGTCTGCTACATTTCATCGAAACTAGTACTATGGCTAGTACTTAAGGCAGGTCATTTTTTGATTCTTCCAAGAGTTTTCCTAATAAATTGATAAATCACATGAGAAACAACGGGAAAAAAAAACAGGAAAATGAAAAATTGTTTCAATATTAAACAAATACCATTAAAGAAAATGTATAATACACATAATATGCAATTATTTTACTATAGTAACGAAACTCTGCTCAGAATCGTCTTTCGTTATCAATGGTTAATCGTTGCTTACGGTTATACATTTAATTTCACCTCTTAAGCTAATTTAAAATCTAGGGTTGGGTATCGTCCTCACGGTGCATGGCAAATTTTGTTCTTCAAGTAAGATTTCCATTTAGCATTTCCAGTATTAATTAAAGTTTTCTCCATTGAGGGGAGGAACTTTATAACTTTCTTCTTCAACGTTACTAAAGGATGAAACACTTACCGACTGGTGAAAAAAAATGTTCAATGCGTAATTCGTGAACACGATGCGTGATGAATAATAAGAAAAATAACTAAGTAATACAATAATAAGAAAAACAACTTATTAGGTTATAATAAATAATTAAATAAATAGTACACAAATTCACACTCATTAATCGTATAAAACCTGATGTATGTACAATACGTCCGGAGAAATCAAGATACATGTCGATTAAAAGAAAAATTACGATAATGCTGTAGACATCTGTTGTAAACATATTATACTATAAGATAGGTGAAACAAAAAGAAGCGGAATAAATATTGTAACGAGCCGGCGATTTGCCGTCGTTGCATTAAACTTAACACAGGTGCTTTGTTTTAATATCAAACAATTTTCTTTATTTTACAAATATTAAATAGTAATTTACATATAATAGTTTATTTCATTTAAGTAGGTTTACAGAAAACTGGGGTTTTGTATGTGTGCGAAATACGTGGGTTTTTGAATGATGAACGCGTTGTGTGTTACAATTAAACCGTGCAAAATGTTATTATAAAAATTGAATACTTAATACAAGTGTTAGTATTAATATAATTACAAACAAGAATAACAAGAATGGTTTGGTAAATAGAATAGCACCACACATCAGGTCGGATGATCGTTCTTCTAACAGTCTTATTTAATGCTGCACTAAGATTGTCATATTTTTCTCTACTTTGGAAATTTTCAATTATCATTCTATTCCATAAACCTAAAAAGCCTCCTGATCTACCTTCTTCCTATTGACCTATAAGCCTCCTGCCCTTCTTCGCTAAAATATTCGAAAGACTAATACTAAAAAGAATCCTTCCTTGCATCTACTCTAATAATGTACTTCCTAATACTCAATTTGGATTTCGCGCCAACCACTCTACAACACATCAGCTGCATAGACTAGTTGACTCCATATCCTTTTTACTTGAAAAAAAAAAAATACTGTTCTTGCGTGTTTCTCGATGTGTCTCAAGCGTTTGATCGTGTCTGGCACGAAGGCCTTCTCTACAAAAATTAAAACTTTTTCTCCCATCTACATACTACTTGCTAATAAAATCTTATCTAACCGATCGACACTTCCAGGTCAAGTTTGGTTCTTCTGTTTTAAGCATCGCAAACATTAATGCAGGAGTCCCACAGGGTGGCATACTCTCGCCAATTTTATATAATATATATGCCGCTAATCAACCTACCTCTCTAAATACAACTGTAGCCAAGTTTGCGGATGATAAGGCAATTATAGCGATCCATGAAGATCCAAATACTGCTTCCCTAAACCTTCAACATCACTTCAATTTATTGTCTAATTGGTACGATAATTGGAGAGTTAAAGTAAATCAATCCAAATCACTGCACACTACCTTTACTCTTCGCCTTGCTCCCTGTCCTGAAGTTTCCTTAGCTGGCATACCTATACCTTCATCTCAATCTGTCAAGTATTTAGGGCTAACCATTGATCGTCGCCTCACATGGGCGCAACACGGAAGGGAAAAAAAAACTCACCTAAAATGCACAAATTGCTTATTTACAAATCATTAATTAAGCCTATCTGGACATATGGTCTCCAACTGTGGGGTAATGCCAAAAAATCCAATCTTAATAAAATACAAACTGTTCAAAATAAAATCTTACGCTCCATAACTAATGCCCCCCCCCCTTATGTCTCTAATTATACTCTCCACTCTGACTTAAAAATGAAAACCATACACGAAGAAGCTAAAATGTATTACAAACTTTTTTTCAACAAACTGTCTGCTCACTCAAATCCCCTGATATCCGGCTTAGCCACTCGCACAATTCCTGGAAACCCTCCATGACGATTAAAAAGAAACTGGTGTAGAGATCTTCTAAATATATAACTGGAAAAAAAAAGAAAAAAAATGTTAATGATAATTAAAAAAATATATAGTTGCACATATATTTAAGCAAAAAGAAGTGCGATCACTAGATGATTTCTTCCCTCACCCTATTCATGTTTATTTTTAATATAATGTAGCACATATTCTTATTATGCCTTTGGGTATAGATTGTATATTCTCTAATAAAATGTTAAATATATGTATATTGTATATTTAATAATAATTTATTTAATTTTAATTTTATATATACATTTATTTTAAAAATAACAGGGATTAATAATATTAACAGGGATAATGCATAAATTAAAATTTATATATACATATATATAAGAAATACATTTCTCTTTTATTAACTATATATATTTTATTTGTATCTTTTACATACATTTTAAAAAATAACAGGTATTTATAATATAAACAGGGATTAAACACAATTTAAAAATATCAATAATTAAACGACGAAATATGTTGATAATCAACAAGAAAACAGATTCAGACCTGTTTAGAACGAATCTAGACGAGACCTATAATACTGATACGGTAAGATAACATCAAGTTTTAGGATTTTTTTAAACCATGTTTAGCAAGAAAACAAATTGGAATACTGGCTTAAGATAAGGAAGACGATAATTGCTAGAGTTGATCCACCAATCACTATGCTACTCCCGGTTGTTCCAAACCTCAAACGTTTAACACAATGACGTGATCTAAATCCAGGTCAGTTCGGTACCCCAACTCTAGTGGCGACTCACATGCATAATTGAAGTGATGCATGTCTCCGACGTGATATTCCTTACGTTATAAGGTAAGCAACCCCTGCTATACCAGTAACGAGATTCGCTCTTACCGGTAATCAATTCATCCAAAACTATCCAAAAATCAACCACATTTAAACCTACACTCCTACGTTCCGTACCTAATCATCCAACCAGATGTATAGTGCCGTCCCGTTTACCAAACCCTTCTCGTTATTCTTGTTTGTAATTATATTATTAATAACACTCTTGTATTACGTTTTCGATTTTGTTCAGATGAAACGCATTTATTTCAAGTATCTATACGCAGCCCAACAGGCAGCAGAAAGGAGAACTAAATTAATTATATTTTTTACAACTTTCTTGTTGTCAATGCCAAATTTGGGTTCTATATTCTCGGAAGCGGTTTTTTTAGGGGCGCGTTTTAGGATGGGCGTCATTTTAGTGGCAGTATCGGGCTCGTTAATGGGCGGAAGTTTGGAAGATATTACCCTTCTTCTTGTGACTATGGCGGCGTGGTCGAAAACTGAATTTATGATAGCGGAAATAGAGTAAACTGGTTTTCTAAGGATAGACGTTTTGATAGATTTTTCGGCGCCTTTGATAACCTTTCTGTCACCACCAACGAATGTTGTTGGTGGCGTCTGGTTGTAGGTGACTGGTCCTTTAGAAATATATAGTGTTACGGACATCACAATGGCGTAACCCAACTTCATTTTTGGACGGTACTCCAAGAGGAAACTTTGCGTAAAACGCTTACCGAACACCATAACCATCAGGCTTCCAGACGATCCACATGGTATCAGAATAATCGATTCATCTTTATAGTCGCACGCGGACAAAGGTCGCATTAAAATACGCTTTACCTGTAACCGGGTACTGACGACGATGGTCAACCCGTCTTCAAACACCGTTCGGAACTTGCCGTGTGTATCATAAAATTCATTGGCGTACTCTGGTGTAGTACGCAACATAGAGTAGTATAATTTTGTGAATTCGTAGCCGATATTAAGCGCGTACTTAGTTCTTGGCAACGATTTTAGCTTAGCCATCGCAACGGCTCTTCTCTCGCGTGTCGCATCTACAACACCATTTCTGTTTCCCATTTTGAATGCAAGTACAAATAACAAGCGAGTGCGAAACTATTAGAAATAATTGATTTTTTTTTCAGTCTCGCAATAGTGTTTTTTAATAGTGAGTAATATAATTTGGTAGGCGACGACACTATAAAACTATAACTACACGATTGTTGTTGGTTAGTAACGAAAATAATATTAGCAGTTTGTTTTTGTTCTGGCCACGTCCCAGGAGCCCACGTATGTAATGTACTAGGGCTAGTACCTTAGGGAAGTCATTTTTTTGATCTTTCCAATATTTTTCCCAATAAATGGATAAAACAATGAATTCTCAATGTCATAAATTTCTTAACTTCATCAGCCACATGAAGTGCTTTTTCTTCGGTCCTCACGGTCCATAGCAAATTTTGTTCTTCAAGTAAGATTTCCATTCAATATTTCCATTTACTAGAAAGTTTTCTCTTTTGAAGAGAGGAAGTTAATATTTATCTTCTTCTATGTTACTAAAGGATTTAACACTTACTGACTGGTTAAAAAAAAATTGATAGTGGTACAAGTATAATTGGTGACATGAGATGCATGGTGAATAACAAAGGAAAAAAAATATATAAAATGCGTCGATATATTAGAAATAAGAAAAACAACTTAGTAAGTTATAATAAATAATTAAATAAATAATACACAAATTAAAACGTGTAACCTGGTTCAATTCATCGTACAACAAAACATGACGGCCATACAATGCGTCCGGAGCAAACAAAATACATGTTAATAAAAAAAAAAAAAAACAAATGACGATAATGCAGTAGACATCTGTTGTAAACATTTTATATTATGAGACTAGAACCGTAAAACAAAAAGGAGGAGTACACATGGTTCATTCCCACGACGTCGACTCCTGTTTTGCGAAAGCGTTTTATTTTGTTAATTCTTACCTGCCACATACGAAACTTGAAAATACACCTATTCATAATGTACTACTCCATCCTACCATACTATGTTAAAAAAATGTGTTTTCGTTATAATTTTTGCAGGGATTACACTAGTTTTCCTAAATTTTCACTGTAGTAAACTTAAAAAATGAAAATAATAAGAAGAATTAATTTTAGCTTCTATTTAATCGTTGATTAACTATTGTTATTGCCAATAGTTTTTGTATTTAGGAAAATACTAAATTGATTTTTGCTCATGCCACGATTGCGGTGCCGGAATTTCTTTAGTAATAATAATTTCATCACAAAAATTATATTTTTATTTATAATAGTAATATAACCGATTTATGTGTCGGCGAAATAGGACGATTTTTAATATCTCATAAATTCGGTTTATTTCTCGGCAAAATGGGATGTCCGCAAAACAGGAGTTGGCGATGTGGGAAGACATGGAACACATATTGTAACAAGCCGGCGATTTCCCGTCGTCGCATTAAATTTAACACAGGTGCTTTTTTTTTTGTGTAAAATAGTTTTCTTTATTTCACAAGAGTTGAATAGTAGTTTACATAAAATAGTTTATTACATTTAAATCTGTTTACAGTAAAATGGCGTTTGGTACATGTGCGGGATACGCAAGTTTTGATTTGCATGTGCATGATATAATTAATTAGTCTATACGCAATGTCATGCGTGGTATACTACAGTTAAATCGTTCAATGTAGCATTAAAATCAAATTGAAAACATAATGGAAAAATGTTAATAATAGTATAGTTAAAATAACACGAAGTGTTTGGTTAATGGGACGATACTACACATCTGGACGGATCATTAGGTACGGAACGTAGGAATGTAGGTTTAAATATGGTTGCATTTTGGATAATGTGGGATGTACTGATTACCGGTAAGGGCGAATCTCTTTACCGATATAGCAAGGATTGCTTACTTTATAGCGTAAGAAATATCACGTCGAAAACGTGTATCCCTTCAATTATGCGTCTGAGTCGTCACTTGAATTGGGGTACAAAACTGATTTAGATCCTAATCTCGTTTTTTATTTAAATTTTATTATTGATTTATTTTTCATGATAAATGAATAAAATAAAAAATAATATTTAGATATTTTTAAAGATTATATATTGTATATTTATTAATAATTTATTTTATTTTTATTTTATACATACATTTATTTAAAAAAAATACAGGGATTAAAAACATTACCTTACGCACAATAGAAAAATTCTGCATATAAGAAATATATACTTCAATTATAAGGTATATTAATTTCATATTTAAAATAATTTATTTAATTTTAATTTTATATACACATTTATTTGAAAAATAACATGGATCAATATTATTAACAAAGATAATACGCAATTTAAAATGTATAAATATAAGAAAATAATGTTTCATTTATTAAGTATATTTATTTTATTTGTATCTTTTACATACATTTATTTAAAAAAAAAAAAAACAGGGATTAGGCACAATTTAAAAAAAAAAATCAATAATAAAAATTAAAAGAAAAAAAATGTTTCAGAATGCTCGTGTACATTTTATACGAGTCGAAACTACCGCGTCGAAATGACGCGATATTGAAATACCGACTTTTGGCGACCGTGACATTCGCTTGTACTCGGATAAGAAAAGATATCACAAAGTTTAAAGAATTTTTTAAACGATGCTTAGCAGGAAAACAAACTGGACTACTGACTTAAGATAAGGAAGACGTTTATTGTTAAAGTTGACTAACCCCAGTCACTATGCTACTACTGGTAGTTCTGAACCTCCAACATTTAACCCAATAACGGGATCAAGGTCTAAATCAGTTTAGTACCCCAATTCAAGAGGCGACTCAAACGCATAATTGAAGTGATACATGTCTCCGACGTGATATTCCTTACGTTATAAGGTAAGCAAGCCCTGCTATATCGGTAACAAGATTCGCCCTTACCGGTAATCAGTATATCCCAAACTATCCAAAAATCAACCATATTTAAACCTACACTCCTACGTTCCGTACCTAATCATCCAACCAGATGTATAGTGCCGTCCCGTCTACCAACCCCTTCTCGTTATTCTTGTTTGTAATTATATTATTAATAACATTCTTGTATTACGTTTTCGATTATGTTCAGATGGAACGCATTTTTTTCAAGTATTTATACACCGCCCAACAGACAGCTAAAAACAGAACAAAATGAATTAAATATTTCCTAATTTTCTTATTATCAGTGGCGGGTTTAAGTTCTATATTCTCGGGAGCGGTATCGGGTTCCTTAATAGGCGTAATTTCGGAAGATATTACTGGTTCTCTTATGTTGTCGGTTGCGTAGTCTGATTCTAAATTAATGATATCGGAAATCGAATATTCGAGTTCTGTAAGGTCGGACGTGTTTAAAGATTCTTCGGTGCCAGTGATAGCCTGGCCGTCGCCACTATCGAAGGTTGTTAGTGGAGTCTGGTGGTAGGTGGCTGGTCCTTCATAAATATATTGTGTTATGGACACCACAATGGCGTAACTCAACAACCTTTCTGGTCGGTACTCCAAGAGGAAATTTTGCGTAAACCGCTCACCGCTCACGGTAACCATTAGGCCGCCCGACGATCCACCGCAGGGTATCGAAATAATCGATTTAACTATATAGTCGGACACGGATGTGGGCCGCATCAAAATACGCTTTACTTGTAACTGGGACCTGACGACGATGGCCGACTCGTCTTCGTACACCGTTAAGAACTCGCCGTGTTCATCGTAAAATTCATTGGCGTACTCTGATGTCGTACGCATCACGTAGTTATACAGTTCCGCGAATTCGTAGCCGATATGAGCCGCGTACTTCGTGCTCGACAACAAATTTTTCTTGGCTACCTTTAAGATGGCACTAAGAGCTCTTATCTTACGTCTCGAATCTACAACACCACTGCTTTTTTCCATTTTGAATGAAAGTACTAATATCAAGTGCGTGCCAAAAAAAATTAAAACTAAATTTCCCGTTTCGCAATCGTGATTGTTATTGTGAAATTGTAAAATTTAGAAGTCACGGATACTATAAAACTATAACAACACGGTTGTTGTTGGTTAGTAACAAAAAGAAATTTAGCAATTTGTTTTTGATCTAGCCACGTCCTCGGAGCCCACGTACGTAAAGGACACATAGTCTTCTCGGCTTAAAATTACATTGATTGGTAATTTACAAGCCTAAAGATACATCTGAAAAACCCTTGGGAGTTGCAACACCCAAAATTCTACCCTCTTTTATATACCATCTACCTTGTACATTGATATTTTTTACATGATGTTTGGACTAAAAATACACAAAAGGAACGAATGCAGTTTAGCTCCCAAACGATTTTTTTTTTGTTATGTTTGTTTTCACATCCTAAGTTTGATAGTAATTTCAAAAAAAGTCGCTAAACTTCATTCAAAAGTTATAGACAAATTACTTCTAAATGCTTCTTTTTTTCTAAAAATCTTGTTTTAGAGTTTAAAAAATTTACATTTTTGTTTCTTTTTTATTTTTAGAAATAGTAGTAATTGCNAATTCACCTATCGTAATTACTTTTTATGTTATTGTTAATAAACTACGTAAAACCTAATTATAGTATTCCAATCATATTAAAGTAAATCAAAATTGATATTTAAACTTTTTCAGTATGTAATAAGATAAAGACGTTTTTGAATGTTAAAAAAAAAAAACAAGGAAAACTAAATGCGACCTCTTAATAATGCACCAATAAGATCAAAAATACTATAAAGAGCATTTTTTATTAGAGTAAAATTGCATTTAGACAATTTGTAAACAAACAAAAAAAAACAAACTTAGCAAAGCAAAATCACCACACTCCTCGTTGCGCTCAGAATTAAATGTTTTAAACTTTTTTAATAACCAACTTGTCAATTTCCAGACACGATTACGTAGTTGTTTTATCGGATTTCATTGATAATAGTTTTTTCCTAAACGACTTATCATTTTAGTAATAGCTTGAAGTAACTATGCGCGTAATAACCTATAGCTAATCGTTTTTTTTTTTTTTTTTTTTTTTGATTTTCTAAGCGGTTTTTATAACAATTGGAAAAAAAACGTACCTAGGAAAAACCGGAAAATTTACGAAAGGTATTATTTTCAATTTTTGTTCTTTGTTGCGATTTAGTTACATATCATACAACCGAATATTATTGTTGAAAAAAAAATCATAATAGTGCAGCTTTACGAGTTTGTAATACATATAAAAAGTGATTATTTTTGTTTATCATAATCACAATGGATTTTAGTAAAAATGATTTTTGGGTTTTTCAAGCGTTATAGAATCGTTTTATTAATCGTAAATGCAACTTTTTATTTCAAAAACATCACCTTTATTCCTTACACCGTATAGCATATAATATATATACTCGTAAATAATGATAACTGATACTCTTGATTTTCAAATAGCAATAAATTTTCCAAACTTACAGATTCAAAAAGATGATATTTTTTCTAAAAACTGTGATAATATGCCATACTACATTTATATCGAAAATACTGCAATATTTATAAATTCAAAAATGTATACCGATTAATATAGAAAGGGTGATGAATTTCATATCCATTTTTAGACGATAACGCTTATTCGCCTTGCTATTTTAAATGAAAACGTTTCCGTGTCTATTGATTACGTATAATAAATAAGGTAAAATTGTTTAGAACAATAATAGCAATAAATACATGGAAGTACGATTCCGCGCGTATATTGTAACGACTGAAAAAAAAACTACAATCGATTTTACCCGAAATGTTCGTAGATAATTGCTAGACCATGCGTTTGGGTGTATTGATTTTCGAGCAATACGATTATAATGTACGCATCCAAATTATGTACGGGCGTAAAAAAATGTCCATTGTACATAGGAGGTAGGTGCTTACAACACCGTAAAAACTAGGTGTATAGGGCACTCGGGTCTCGTTTGTGAGCGTTTCGAATGGAACCCACTGACTTGTGAAACTAAAGCGAGACGCAGGTACGTATATTTGGAAAGATTCTCAAATCGATACACGCCGTACCACGCTGGACCTATATACAAATGATTAAACGCATTCAACGATATTGGTTAACGTTATGAAAATAGATTTTTTTTTTTTTACAACAAATAACAAGTCACAACTATTGTAACACTCTCCACACCTCATTCTGTAGTAAAAAAAAATTAAAACGAGCCCAATCCTTGATTTTTTTATGACTATGGGCGCGAATATAATGGGACTCTGGGCTTATCCGCTTTCTGAATCCGTCCGCGAATAGCTCCCCAAAAATGTGTTAAATGTTCACGTCCCACTATCTTAGCCACAGTAATCGTCTCTTATGCGTTATATTATCATCGTAAATTGTTTTAGTGTTGGCCCTCTCAAACTGTGAATACGTGGTTTAAACCGTTAACACCGAACAGCACAGATAAAGTCATAGTGAACAGATAATAATATTTATTATTGCTGTTACTACTATCACTTATCAATAATTAATAATTTATTATTTAATAATAATAATTTATAACGATCGTAGAATTGGCACTTGAAAGAAAGAGTCTTTTACATCTACTAGACAAGATAATAGTAAACAGCAATAAGCAGTTATAGGTGAGGTTGAGAATTTTAAGTACGTAGGATCTTTTTCACAAAAGATCGGTGACTTTCATAGTGAAACATAGAATGATTGGATAAAGTGGAGAAAAGCGTGTAGTGGTTTATGTGACAAGAGAATTCCAATGAGATTTAAAGTTAAGTTCTACAAAAGTGTGACGAGACTGACTATGTTATATGGGTTCGGAGTGTTAGGTGGGAGACAGAAAAATAGAACAGAGAATGAATGTATCCGAGATGAAAATGCTAAAGTGGATGATTGGCGTGACGAGAGACGATAAGATAAGGGATCGGCGCAAAAGAGATGGCTTAGACATAACTTCGATAGCAGACAGAATGAAAGAAAATAGTCTGAAATGATTTGGAAGTGTCACGGGAAAAGAGGAACCCGAAGCAGTGAGAATTGTAATGAAAACGCAGCCGGTGTGTGCAAGGTGGGAGATCGGAGCAAATGGGAGTTTGGAACGAAATGGTGGCCGACCGCAAATAGTTGGGACGAAGGCAAAGGAGAAGAAGCGATTCACCGTGTCGAATACGGGCACATTAGACGCCCGCGATAATATTATGATTATGAATCGTATTGTTATCGGATTATACATTGAAATAAATTCGTATAAGAGCACAGCGTGTTTTATAATAGTGACGGGGTTAGGTCGGTGTAATGTTACGGGTATTAGTCGCACGTGCGTTCCGCAGTCATGACGTATAGTCGCGATAATGTGATTGAAAATACAACTTTTATGCGTATTATTGCAATAACGTTCATCGGTTATAATTGTTATAATCTTCGGTAGGTCGAACCGCGCGGTTATACCGCCGTGCGAAAATCGCGCGCGCTGATCGATCCGTGAACGAACACACCTGCAGTACTTCCCTTTTCTCGCGGCCGCGGTCCTCGGGGAGGGGAAAAAAAATGCGTAGCCCCGTTCGACGAACATGACGTGTGTGGTTGGGCACCCGTACGGCTCGTGTACGAAATTATCGGGCCGGCACGCCTTATTTGTCACGCGAGCCGCGGATTTTTTCAAAATGTCTATAAACACCGCGGGCCGCTGTCTGAATCGTAAATTAACTGTCTATTGTGTTCGGGCGCGTTGCCCAACGTCTTGCGTGCGACGCGGCTTCATTTGATTACGACGCAATATTCAGCGTTACGATATTAAACACGGTCGCGATATTGTTGTTTAGATCATTCCGAGCGGAGCGATAGGAGCGCACCGACTTAACCTAGGGGAGGATTCGAGAGACTGGGGGGTCGGCAACGGGGAAATTACCCTAACCCCCCGTTGGAATTATTATTTTCGTTTTTAATTGTTTCCTACACCGCGGGGTTCATAGATAACAAATACATGGATAAACTATCTATAACCTAAATGAGCGTTCCAAGATTTATTTATAAAATCAGGGGTTTTTTTTAAATTCGTAGCGAGGCTTCTATTAGTTTTACCATGATGATGCGGTTTTTAGTTTTTCTTTTTTTTAGTAATTTTAATTTTTTTTCCTGTCTGCGAACAACAGACTTATTGGTAAATAATAAAGTCGTTTTTTTTAAAAAATTATTTTTATTTTTTTTCAATAATTTAACAAGACATGCAATTTTGACAGAGAACTCTTATATTTTTTCCTTATAGACGTTATATAATTTTAAAACATTAGAATCATTTTTAACATTTATAGATTTTAATTTTAGAAGTTTTGTACGTCATTTTTATTCAATAGGTACTCTATTATTAGACCATACAGAAATTCTTGAAAATTTGACAGAAAGCTCATAAGTCGTACTTAGTGGTTAAAGAAAAAAAATGAGTATAATGTAATATTTTTTTTATATATATATATTTAAGTTTAAAATCAAATTTTGAAAAAAATCATAAATATTACAATCTTTCAATACATATTGTATTACCGAACTTCGTTCTGAATCGTTTTTCGTTAGCAATGGTTCATCGTGGGTCACAGGTATAAATATAAATTAAATAGCTTTCTATATCCTACTTTCCCAACTACCCACCTACAACATGCCCCTACCCGTACCCAGTATTAGTTCTTTTTACAGCTTTTTATCAACAGTGATACCCGCAGATAAACTGCTTCAGCTTTCCGAACGCCTTTAATTGTCTAGTAACAGACAATTGTTATATAAATAAGCAAATGGCGTATCCATTTTTTCATTATCTATGCTAGAAATAATAATCCATCGATTTTGTATACGCTGTATTTGTTACTGTTACCAAATGAAGGATAATTAATGGAACCCATGGATTAATGATATTAATCACCAGGATATTTTAAATATTTTACCACGTCTAAAAAAATTCAA